TCCACCTCCCGCTGCATCCCCCCACCCCCTCTCCCTCTCCCTCTCCCGCCGCCCCGTCCACTTCTCTCGCAGCGTGGCGGTTGGATACCACCCACCGAGGGCGGGCGACATCCGGCCAGTCCTGCTGCGGTGTTCCCCTCGCCTTTTCCGTCAGCCAGTGCTCGTGCAGGAGGCCTACGTGGAATCTGAATCGGGGGCTGTACATCATCGCCGCCCACACATGGCGACAAAATAGCCTGAGAGTTTGGAGTGTGCGGCACTGGCAGAGATGGCTACCGTCGGAAAAGAGCAAGACGAGGTAGTCGAAGGCCTTGTCATCACGCTGCTCGTGAATCCCGAAGACGTAAATGGCGTCGCAAAGCTTGTCCTCGATGTACTCGAACGTGCGCCCCGAAGCTGCCGCGCGTTCTGGTCCATCCACCTCCCCACCACCCATCTGGCAAAACGTGATGGCCGCGGTCATCTCTTGCTCCATGAACCGCCGCGGCCAGCCCGCGATGGAGAACTCGCAGGACTCGAGCACACTCTTGAAAGCGGTCGCTGGTGGAGCCGCCATCCGATTAGGCGGCAGATGGTCGATTGCGTCACGCAGCATGGCGGCATCCTTCTGGGAACAGATGATGCCCGAAAAGTACTTCGCCACGTCCAAAAGCGAGGAGCGCGAGTTGCACCTATCCCTGATGAGGGCGTTTTGGCCTGTTGTGTGTGCGGCGGACAAACACGCAAGAAGCGACACACAAACCAAACCGTAGGTTAGTGATTGGTGTCATCAGACATCGTTGAAGTCGCAGTACGCCAAACGACTGAAAGAGAAGCCTATGACTTGACGCACCCATCGCCACAGATGTATGTACACGTGAGCCGGACGATCGCAGTGCACCGACCAAGTACATCAATCCCGAACAACAGGGGCCGGACAACAGCCACATGTTTCGAAGAGGTCGTAAACATTAGCGTCATGTAGGGAGTTGTTTACTGGTCATCCCACTGACGGCGTACGATAAATTCGTCCAGAAGCACTCCACCAATGGGCATAGTAAATATGGGGGCAAGGGAAGAATAGCCGCCCCCAACCCCCTAGCAGACGTAGAAAAACTCCCAAAAACAACGACAACGCTATATGCGCTGTCGTTCTCGAACAAAACGCTCATGATGGCAGATGACGCATACACGCACCTTCAACTCTTGATGTCGTCCACGAACCCACGGAGAACACCAGGGGCGACACATATTCCGCCCACCGTGCACGGTCGTCATATACTACTTGCATGTACTTCTCCGCCTTCGGGTACTTTTCGATGAGGGCGTTGAACTTCCGTTCGAACTTCGCCAATGACAGCTGCTGACGCACACACCTGAACTCGTCCATGAAAGGCTGCGGAAAACACAAACGACGTGGGCCGGGTGGGTGTTGCGTGAGTTGGGGCCTTTGCGATATGGGCTACCGGTCTGTACGATTGACTGCCACCAACAACCCCGTACACTTCGTTAGCGCTAAGGCGAGACGAGGAGAGGGTTGAAAAAACTCAGCGACATACCATTGGTGCTTACAACCTGCTTGCTGCTGCTGCTGCTTTTTCTGTGTGCACTGGACGTCGTGAGGTATGTTTCCGTCGAAGCCGAGGTCGTCTCCGCATCACGGTCTACGCAGAGACGCTGGATATCACTCTTCCAAGTAGGCGACACTGATCCATGACAACGCACCAACTCGCACAGGGGATACAAGCGGGAGTGGTGGGAGGGGGGCTAGAGTGGGCAGCGTACGTCGCGCGACCAGGACAATACGAGAGGCCAGACTAACCACGCCAACACACACAGTAGAGCGCACCTTCATGTACCCACCAAGGACTTTAGCGAGGGCCTTGATAACGTTCTGGTTGAGGTGCCATAAATTGCGCCTCGCCAGCGCGTCCGGGAACACCTCTCGCACCGCCGCCGTCATCGCCGCGTCCGCGTCCTGGATGAAGGTATCCGGCTGCTTCCCGCGAGACTCCAACGCACTCTTCAACATCCACAGGAAAGTGTCCGTTGTGGTGTCGGCCGTTATGCTTTGGCCGACGATCCGCGTCCGATACTCCGAATCGACGACAGCGAGCACACCGAGAGGCATACGGTATCTGTTCTTGACAGCGGTGTCGTCGTAGAGCGCAACGTGACCGTACCGATTCCAAAGCGCCACCTGCGTATTCGGAGCATGACGTCGAAGGGGATCGAGAGCACTTAATTGTGGGTGTGACGTGTGTTGGACGCGTCACAACGCACCCCCACCCTTGCCTACGGCGTGCTTTCGGTCAGACGTCCTACATTTGCGGACGGCGAAGCGGTACGTGCGAGATGCTAAAATGAAAGCAAACCTTCCGGCTGGGGAATATTCGTATGGGGCACAACGACCGGCGACCTACCTGCTCTCTCGTTTGCCACCAGATGTGCGTCAGGCGGCCGCTGTCATCCATCTTGATCTCGCACACTCCGCCGTCGGCCGTCGCGGCCATGACCTGAAATTGCAACATGTTAAGCGCCCGGAAACATCGAGGGCATCAGCGCAAAACCACGACGACGGCACGGCACACATTTTTTACCTCCAACATTTCTTGGTTTGGTGTCATGGGGCATATATTCTCCCGGTTGTCACCTGCGATCGTATGTGTCTTGTCGCCCGGATACCGCCTTGAGCAAAACCCAACATCCCACACACAAACAAGAGAGGCAACAGTCTCAACGGACACATGGACACACCTCTTCGTACGCATCGGCAGCATCTCTCGGCTTCTCCGCCCCGTGCACAATGGCAGCTGCGTTCTGCACCGCGCGCTTGTTGATGTCGATGTCGCTGTCCTCGTGCAACGCCTTCATTGCTTTCGTCACCTCTTTTGGCTTCATCCCATGACCTGCGCCGTATGGGAGAGCCGGGAGCACAAAAATAAGTGGCGTGTCACAGACAAACAGGGTAACAATGTGGAGGCGACAGCAGTACCACGCTTCAAGGGCCGTTCGTCATGCGGCATCATGACTACCAACCATGACAAACCGTGGGATACGACGGGAGCCACTGTAGACCTACTCCAACGAGTTCAATCTTCCTTGCCCCATATTTGATTCACAAGACAAGACAAATGAAACGTTTCGCCGTCCACCGCTGAGTACACGAAAACAGCGAACCGAACGTGCACGCGTTGAAAGGCACGAGGTGCAGCACAGCAGGGACAATCAATTGGCGTGCTACACCCACGGAAACAATGGCAGGGCCTCTACAGGGAGCCTTGATGTGGACCGGGGGAATGCCAGATACCGGTGCTCTTTTCATGGGGCCAAGGGGAACAGCAGCAGCAACATCAAGTAAAGCACACAAAAAAACATTGTGGGTGTCACGCCGAACGGCACGTGTCAAGCACCAACCCGTCTCGCCTGCGTTTCCGGCGGGGGGCTGGTGGTCAATGTCTGCTGCTGTTGTTGCTGTACGGGGTGGGCTTGTACAGGGTAGCCCGCAAAACCTCCGGCGGCCCCAGCATCGGGAGCACCCACAGGGGCCGGAGTTCCCAACGGCAGACCAGTGCGAGGTGAAAGCATGGCCTGCAACCGCACGCGAAACCCACCACGCGGCGGAATGGAAGGACACCATGTCAACGTTTGATCACAAGACAAGACAAATGAAACGTTTCGCCGTCCACCGCTGAGTACACGAAAACAGCGAACCGTACGTGCACGCGTTGAAAGGCACGAGGTACAGCACAGCAGCGACAATCCACTGGCGTGCTACACCCACGGAACAAACATTGCCGGTGTCACGTCGAACCGCACTTGTCAAACATCAACCCGTCTCGCCTGCGTTTCCGGCGGAGGGCTGGTGGTCAATATCTGCTGCTGTTGTTGCTGTACGGGGTGGGCTTGTACAGGGTAGCCCGCAAAGGCTCCCGCAGCGCCAGCATGACGAGCACCGTAAGAGGCCGACAGAGCAGCACTGGATGGAAGCATTCCTAGCAATGACACTACCGCACGGCAGGCCACGGGTCCCACGACGCGAACATGGAGGGTAGACACATGAAGTTAAGGGGTTGGGCAAGTGCGTGCACAATGCCTGCACCTCTACCAGCCCAGCACTGCTGTAGCACCACCATACAGCCGAGCAGCCAGAAGAAAAGACTCCGGACTATACGGCAAGGACAACAGGCAGGGCCTGGCCTGGCCTGACCACACCAGTGCAGGCACATGATCACCAACGTACGTACGACGGCAACAACAGGTACAGAGCAGCATCGACACGTGGGACAGCATGAGGGAGGCTGCAACACAGGAGACAGACCAACACACACATGGCGCTGGTGCGGGTGCGGCCGTTGCTATTTTATTTTCCAAAAAAAACATCACAGAGAGGGTGAGGGTGAGGCACAGACACAGAGGATGCACGGACGCCTGTCGGGACGGGATCTCACCAGTTATCGTTGTGTGTTGTCTCCTCGTCTTCCCCCAGCGTGCGGGTGCGTGTCGCCGCCTTCAGACGGCTCTCCGCCGCCGTGATTATCGCTGCTTTTATAGGAGAGGGAGAAGAACCTCTTCGGGGACACTCCGGGCGGTTTCCCGGGGTTTCGATCCGTCTGGATGTTTGGACTGTGGTTCTCTTCTATAATCCATGGATTGCAAATATTCGCGCCCAACACGAACACAAATCTAATAATAAAAGCGTGCACCAGCTCCGCGCAGAGCAGAGCCGGCCAGGCACACAGGGAACGTATTGCGTTTATTTTTTGAGGCGCAAAACCCTCGCTCCACCAGCCAAAGAGGCAGAGGGGAAGCCGCAGAGAGCGCCGGGGGATAAAAGAAGTGTTGCTGCTCTTCCCGTGCATCGGTACAAAAGTATGGGGGTTGACTTCTGGGAACAGAGTCGACGCGGCGGCAGTCATCACAGCTATGCTCCGATCGATGAAGGCGAGACCGCTGGGTGTAGCTGCAGCAGCGGCAGCACCACCGGACGGGGACCCAACACAAGCAGGAGACGAGGGCTCATGGGCGGGGTGCTGCGGTGCGGAGCGGCGCTCTCTATGGTCGCGCTCTGGGTGGGGGCAAAGAGCTACCTCGAGCCGCCTCGAGGAGACGTCGGCGCGGCCGCGTCGTCGTTGCAGGAGCTCGGGGAGCGTAGGTCAGCGGGGAGAACCGACGCCGAGGTGGCCGCCGAAGACAGCGATACCCTGATGCAGGTGCTCGTGACGAACCCGTACCAGAGGAACATGGCGCTGATGTACCCGTGGGAGCACGTGGCCGAGCCGGCGAGGCAGACCCGCATGGAGATACTCACCTGGCCGGGCAAGGACGGAGGGATCGGGCTCGAGTACATGTGAGGCAACAAGAATCAAGTCAAGTCAGAGAACATGACCTTGGTACTACTGTGGTTTGCGTATTACAACCTTGTGTTTTTCATCCCCACAAAACCGAGCGAACTGTCCGTGTTTTTCGCCACCTCAATACATAGAAGTCCGGCGGCGACTACATTATTGCTGTATCCCCGTGCAACCCCCAATCAATTCGTGTAGTGGAATCAAGACGGGGTTCGTCAGTACCAAAGGATAAGGTCTAACCCCGGCCGCATAGCAGACAGCTTGCTGGAGGAGCCACATGCCCCCCTTTCGGTCCGTTGTTGTCAAGATTTTCTTTTTCTTCGTGTTTTTTTTCATCTCTCGTGTCTCTCCTATTAATAGGACTTTGTTGTTGTTGTTGTTGTTGTTGTCTTCACATTAAACACCCTTCCGTTCTCTCTGCCCAGTACCTTCATCTGTCCGTACTAGTCCAACATTTGACGGGGTCGATTCCCGTGGTCAATCTGTCCGGTCATACAGTTCCCGTTTGTGGATATATTGAAAATAAGGCCAACACCCTGAGTCATCTAAAGAGGTGGCGGGTTCGAGCCTCGGCACCACCGTCTTTTTTTTCCGTTCAACTAAAAAAGAATATTTTTCATCATTTTCCCCACTTGTCTCCTGTCTCCTGGTCCAAAGTGGCACCGTATTCTTACATCAGTCTAGTTTCGCCGGTTCAGAGGGTTAAAAAAATTGCTAACATGACCAAAATAGGTCGGAAAAGAAAGTCAGAGGGCTGCCAAACAAAACATTACCAGAAAAGACAAACTTCTCGCCGCGCATGAGCATTTCTATGATAAAGAGATGGATTCGTTCTGTCATATTAAGAAAAGTAATAATAAAAAAAGGTCAAATTTCCTGCAATTTTCCAGGGGTATACTCGGTAACGCTTTTTATGTCGGACACGTTTTGGACGGAAAGTTCAACATGCCGGTAATTTTTGGACGGTAGACGGTTGCTCAGTTTTTGACGGTAACGACTGGACGGTAAACGGTAAGCCCCCAAAATGCCGGTATTTTTGTCGGCGGTGACACCACATGACGGTAATATCTCGGCGGTAAACGGGAAAATACATATTTGCCGGTAATGTTTGGGCGGAAATGCGACATGACGGTAAAGTTCTGGCGGTAAACGGGAAACATATATAAACCGGTATTTTTTCGACGGAAATGCGACATGACGGTAAAATTCTGGTAGCTCATCAGTTTTTGGCGGTAATTCTCCAGCGATGACGCAGTATGACGGTGAGATGTACAGCGCGGTAACGCGACATGCCCGTAGTTTGGGCGTACCTGAACAACATACCAACCAGCATGGTGATAATCTTCTCATTTTCAAAAAAAAACAAACAGCCTGACCGCAAGCAATGCCAGCCATACACCGGGGGAAAAAAAAAGAGAGAAAAACAAAACACAAAACAGACTCTTTTTTTATTTTCTATCATGGAGATGGTTTCGTGGTGTCATATTAAGAAAAATAAAAAAAACACACGAAATTACACGAAATTACACGAAAAGGTAAGAAAATGGTGAGACCACGCCCGTGTGTCCGCACATACTCCGAAATGTATCCACACATATACTACCCAAATACCTGGTACATACGCGTACCACATTGAAAATACGTTTGAAAACTGAGGGAGATTGCATTCCCTACGGCTAAAAGGGTGCCACACACAAAACGCCCGACCAGTACCTAACACATATCATCTGCACCTTCCTAACATAACATGTATGAGACACACAAGATAGCTACCAAACTGTCTTGTTGAGCCTGTTACCCGCAGGGGAGATGTCCCTATATGCTGTCTGGGAAATCGTAGACATACAGGTACTTTCTGACGCTATGAATCCATTGCTAATCTGTCTCAGACTCTTTTCTATGATAGAGATGGTTTCGTTGTGTCATATTAAGAAAAAAAAAAAACACAAAACACAAAATACATAAGAGAAAATAGTACATGCTCGAAATATAGACTCAGAAAACAAACACCAAATACACCATGGCTGTCCATTGTTGGCATTTAAATCGACAGGTCAACAGGGCCGGGGAGGGATGATCACGTCCCATCCACGATTTTCGGTGTTGTAAGTTACGTTCATCAATCATACGTAGGCTGTAGGGGTATTACCGCGAAGTTTTGCGAGCTGATACCGATTCCACACGGATAACTAGAAACCGGCACTCTAATTCCGTTTGGCCCAAATCGGAACTATATGACCGGACCGACTGGAACGAAAATGAAATGGACCCGAAGGGTCCGCAAGCCAAAAAAAGTCAACGACAGATAGTCTAGGCCACTCCGCTCGCCTCTCTGCACTCTGTGCGAGGTAACCCTAGATTGGAAAAAGATAGAAAAAGTAAAAAGAAGAAAGAAAGAGAGAAAGAGAAAGAGAAAGAGAAAAAGAGAAAGAAAAAGAAAGAAATGAATTGAGCAGATGGAGAGAAGCAGAGGGAAAGAGAAAGACATGGACAGAGAAAGACACACGCCTTAGCGACAAACAACAAACAAACAGAACAACACAAAACAACACAAGACAAAGCGGGCCACTCGAGCCAGCCCATGCACGTCATCGCTCGCGGGGGGTTGGTGCAATGGTGCAGTGCCGGGGTGGGGGGTGGGGGGGGATAAGTCAAGCAAAAGGTTCATTTCGGCACGGTGTTTCGCGCCACTCGGTCCGCCTCTTCTCGTTTCCTTCCTTTCCTCGCCGTCTCGTCCGCCTGCTGTACCCCTCCCACCCCCCCGTGGTTGTTGCCGTGTCCGTGTTGTCGGGCTTCTTGTTTCGTTTGAGCGCTCGTTGTCGGCTAGCCTCCTCTTCCTTCTTGTGCCAGGAGGCCATGAACCTCTTAGCTCCCTGCAGTACCCTTGTATGCCACGGTACCCTCCGGTCCACCTTCGCTGCTTCCATCCAAGTTGTTTCCGGGACTCCGAAGAAGCATGGCTTGGCGTCCGTAGATCCGTGTTCTGCTTCGAACATCTTGAGGTCGTCCTTCAGGCACATCTGCCAGTTTTGCTCCGGTTTCCCCCTGGCTGGACCCTCCCCCCTCACCAATTCGCCAAGCATCACCCGTTTCGGGAGTCGTCCGTCTGGCTGCCTTACCAGTGTTCCCACGAACAGCAGGCGCCGTTGCCGGAATGTGGTTTCCACGCTCTGGCACCCTACCCTCTTCAGGGTCTGGGCGTAGGAAAGCTGCCGGTAGGTGCCCTCCTTGCGTTGGTAAGCGATAACTCGAAGGAGCAGTCGGTGGTGTATCGTCCGCAACGTCCGGTATTGGTCTTGACGTGGGGCCCATGTCATGCAGCCGTACAGCAATGCCTCCATCGCCTCGGCCTGGAGCAGGCGAGTCTTCAGTCGGAACGGTGCTTTCGGCCTGTCGAAGAGCTCCTGGCCATATCTCCTGACGCACGCCCACGCTGTTCTGCTCCGGTAATTGATCTCCCGGGTGAGGTCGCCATGTTCGTTGACGAGGCCACCTAGGTACCGGAATTCAGGCGTCTGGGCATACCTCTGCCCTGCTGCCTTGATGATCAGCGGTGGCGGCGGGGGGGGGCGGTGGTGTTGTTGTGCGCTTCTCCTTTGCGCGCATCAGGAGCGTCTCCGTCTTCTTCTCCGATACCGTCAGCCCGAACTTCCCGAACACCTCCACGATGACGGTCATCATTCTCGCCAGTCCTTCGGCAGACCTCGATATGACGCCGGCGTCATCGGCATACAGCATCCCCCATACCGCCCTCCGCACTAGGTCAAGTGGTGCCCTCGCCCCCGCTCCCGTCTCCTCCTCCACGTAGGATGCTGAAGGCTCGCCCGTACCCATTCTTCCCGTTTACAGCGAAAGTCCGCACATTCCAGGTTGCTACCCTAAGAAGTGGACCCTGCTGTCTCTCTCGGGCGGTGCGTTCTGCTCTCTTAGCCAGCCTACGCTTCGCCCGTCCCCTCCGTTTCCTCCTTCGTGCCCTCTTTTTTTGTCGTTGTTTAATTTTTTTGCGTGCTCTCGGGCTAACGTACAAGTTACCCCGGTGCTTGTCTTTTGTCCCGGCGAGTTGTCTTGTCCCGGAGCGGTGCGGCCGTCCAGCTCTGGGCCCTCTCCTTTCCCTTCTCTGGTGCATACCCCCACGGTGGTCACCGTGTTCTCTGCTGCTGCATGGCCCCGGTGTCCAAGCCGGGGCGTCTGGATTCAGTCTCATTTGCAGCTACCCAAGTCGGCTATAGTAGGTCGCGAGCTACCCCGATCTTACGACAGCGGTATGTAGTTCCCGGCCGCCAAACTCAGGATCCCCTTCTGATTAGTGCTGTGGACTATGTGTATCCGTCTTTGTTGGGTGGTGTTTCGAGGTGTTTCGAGGTCTAAGTCCACTTACGGACCTCGGCCCACCCCAGCAGGGAGGGCGGCAGGCCGGGGGAAGGTGTGTTGGATAATAGGACGTGAATACGGACTTTTAATACATAAATGCGATTGCCAACAACCTGGTACCAGGTACCAGTCAGTGTGGTTCTGTGATGGGGGCGCCGGACTCGGTGCTCGTGTGTGACGATTCCAAGACTGACCCGACCCCCGTGCAGCGCATACCATGAAACAAGTTAGCCAGGAGGGGCGGGATTCCACCATTGCGAGTCCTGTTCGTTGCCACCGACCCAGCTCACGCGACGAGTGCTGTTTGTTGCTACCCACTTTTGCTCAGCTGAGCGGATTGCGGAGTGACACTGTCTTCTGCACCTACGTAGTGCACCCCATGCGAGCTCTCACGACTAGTTTGGCGGCGGTACGTTGTATCTCCAAAGCACGATATTCGGTGTGTGTTGCACGCACGCACACCGGCTGTTGAGCTCTTGCTCTTGTATCTTTCTTCTGTGTACTATCTTATATGTTGTGGTGCCGCGCAAGCAGTAGCTGTGGGCTGACTCTTTGTCGCGCACGGCGGGGCTCACGAACACAGCTCCACGAACACGAGGAATTGCTGTTCGGTGTTGTTCCAATCTTCTGCAATTTTTCTCATGGGCCCCAGACATGGCAACAAACAGACAGGCAGAGGGCGCCGCAAAACCTCACGGGCGATTGCACATCGTGCACATTACTGACTGCTGTGGTAACCATCGTCTACCTACGCTGCGCGCGCTGTATTTATTCGGTGTGATAGTTCGTGTGTTTTATCTCCGTCCCGCAATTGGAGACTTGATTATCTCCGTCCCCCACTTGGAGACTTCAGAACACGGCGAAATGGTTGTCCCTTCGTAAGTTCGTACAGCATTCATCATGCAACACTCACGCGCACGCACGTGGGCGTCGGGTTCTCATATCAATCGCCGCACTGGCGGACACAGCTCTGCATTTTGCGCAGCAGGCAGTAGGAAAACAGAGGGGAAATAGTGCAGTCTTGACGTTGCCGGCGAAAGAGGCTGTAGGGGGACTAAGTTCTTGCAACTATTTACATGGTGGCCCGCAGGAATTCCTTTTTTTTTTTGGAAAGCAACATCAGGCACCATATGGTCGTGTTACGTAGCGTGCCCTTCCTCGTGAGGTTGACCGCGGCTGAAACCCCCAGACAGAGATACGAGCAGCAGTAGTGTTCAGGAAGTTTTTCGCACTGACATGTGCGTCCGGAATTCATTGGACGAACAAGCGTGCACCGCGACCTTATCCATACTTGCACACATAGCTCGGTATATCGTGGCTCGCTTTACGGTAGTACATACATAGCGGTATGAAGAACAGCGCCCGTACGCAAGCGGTACAACCTTCTGTCACGCTGTCACCCGATGATGCAAGGACTACAGCGGTAGGTCCGTCCGCGTCCCCCCACAGCAGTGAGGATTTGGTCGTCGAGAACGGCAGCAGCAGCGGCAGCGGCAGCGGCAGTAGCAGTGTTGCTTCGTGCTGAGTAGCGGCGCAGCCAGCGAAATTGTAGCTGCTGGCGGAGCTCTGAAGCCAGCCTCGTGCACGGGCGCGCAGACCCTATCGCTAACCGTAACCCTAACCCCAAAGCACGGATTTAATACTTTTGTCACATATGCTTGCTTAGTCAATTTTGCTGCGTAGACTAGTGCGTGCACGCGTACGAAGCTCTCGGTGGTGACCGCCACCTACATGCTCTCGGTGGTGACCGCCACCTACATGCGCTTCAACCGATCCCGCTCACACCTGTTACGCAAGCATGTGCAGCTGGAGCGTTGTGTTTCCCTGGCACACAGAACCCCGAGAAAGAACGTTATTTTTTTTGGCGGAGTAGATACGAGTTTCATGCCCAGATGGGGCAGTTCTTGCACCTTCCCGTGTGAGTGCTCGCGCTTTGCTTGCAGCCCCCAGTTCGATGGGTGTAATAAAGTGCAGTATGTATATACAACGCCCTTCCATTTCGACGTTCCTATGCGATTTGTTTTCTTTTAAGATTTGGGTGTTTCCGACAAAACTTGTGTTGCAAGTCTGCTTCCACAGAGCATTGGTACCCCCGCTCGCGTCCGTGCTGGTGTACTGCAGCGGCAGTTGTGCAAGGAGAGCGACGGTGGTGTGAAGGATAGGCTCGTTGGCCGGTTGTGTCCCACTGGTATCAAAGCGTTTCATGTTGTGTGTTTGCCGCCGTTTAGTTTACCTATTTCCTCGCCGTGTTTTGATTTCTTTTACCCTGTACCCGCTCAGTGCGTAAGCGTGGGCATCGTACACCAATTGGATGAGCATGGACGGCGATCGGAACGCCTTGTTGTGGTGTGAATAAAGACAGCGATCGGAATGTCTTGTGGTGGTGTGAATATTGACTTCAAACATGGACGACCACCGTTGGTTGCATTTGGAAAATCTTGGTGCGATTTTGCACAACGATGCCGCCCCCGGTACACGATACACGATGACGTTCTCGGACTAAGTCGTTTCGCCCAAATTCATGGGGCGTGTCGTTTTGTGTTATCGCTATTCAGTTGTTTCGAAAACGGGCGTTGCAAAAATTGACATGGGCGTGTATTGTTGGTTGATTGCGGAAGGTGCTCGGCAGTGCGGCCGCCCCGCTATTCAATTTTACAGGCGCGGCTGCTGATGACCATGTCCCTCTGCTGTGGTGGTTATTCCAACGTGGTGCAACAAATCTCTCGTTCTTTTCTGGTACTTTATTATTTTTTTGTTTGTCCGTTTTTCCGTTTTTCTGTTGTTTTTGTTCTTGCTTGCCCTTTCGGGGTGTTCCACTCGAACCGATAAAAATTCAAACCCGTCTCAAAAAGCTGCCCGTTTTTTGTTTTCGATCATCTGGTGCTTGTTTTTTTTTTTTTCATCGCTTTCAACGACGACAACGTCGATCGGTGCAGGTGGTCTGTGAATGGTGAGGATGTCGGCACCGGTGCTGTGACCGACACGATGTTCAAGAAACCAGGGGCATATCAGGCAAGTTACCGGGGTGCGTGCGAAAGGGATAAGGGTGGCGGGAATTGTAAGAGAAGGAAACATTCAGTAGTGTTTCTTCTCGAGTATTGGTAGCCACGGAGGTGCCGTTCCCCTGCATTGGCGCGCCTCCTCCACGCAAGTATGGCTGCAACTGCAACATTTGCAGCATTTGTCGAAGTACGTCCTCCAACACGTGCAAAAAAAACTTTAACCATGTATCCATGGGTTTTCCCGTATTTCCGTGACAAAACGTGGTTCCGTGACACCCGCCGTGCCAGTCCCCCGAAGGAGCGTGATGGCAAGTTGACACCGCCTCCCTCCGTTTTTTGTCACGATTTAACCCTGCTTTCGAAGGCCATGTTCGTTGACGACTTTCGGGAAGAACGTAACCATTTCGTTTCATTTTTTATTTTATTTTTTCTCTTCCTTGTCGTTTCCTTTTTCTTTTTTGTTGCACGTGACGACTTTTATGATGAAAAAAAACATGACATGACATGACATGACATGACATGACATGCCCTACAGTGCTCCGTGAGGGCGTTCATCCAGAGGGATGACGGGGATGACGAGCGAGAAGAAGGAGCAACGCCCGGCCTTGATCGTCGCCGCCTAGCGGCGGCGGCGGAGGAGGAAGAGGCGGTATCGGAAAAGAACGGTTCCTCGCGGTCAGCGTCGTCGCGACCGTCGGCGGAGGGCAGCCGAGCGACGAGGACGGTTGGCGGCGGCACAGCAAGCACGGGCGGGCGCGTCGTGGATCCCGTTAACACGCTCAACTTCGTGGTCGTGGTGAAGTACATCCGTCGAGAGATCCGGACGCTGACGGACCGCGACCGGGAGACGTTCTTCAACGCCGTGTCCATCATGCAGCGCGTGCCCAGCGCGGTGGGCCAGCAGGTGTACGGGAGCAAGTACTACAGCAAGGACTTCTTCAACCGGATTCACCTCTACTACGGTACGTGTGTGATGCTCGTTCTGACCGCCGCATGGCGTAGTCGTTGGACCCTTGACCCGAGGCATCTGTGCAATGCCGGGACGGAGCGGTTTTCGCCAGCCCAGGCTACGGTACGTTTCGTAGGGACGAGCCTGAAGCTGATAGTGTTATCATCCTTGTTCTCTCTATCTCTTCTGTCTCTCTCCCCCTCTCTCCTACCCCATCTCCGCCTCTCCCCCTCATCCACTCCTCGATCTCCGAAAAGTTCCCTCCCCCGGTGTGACGCTCTTTTTCTCCCGTTGTTGTCGCTTTCATGATGCAGGCGGGCGCGAAGACTGCGACCACTGGCACGCCGGGGCCGGGTTCGTAACCTCCCACATCGCCGTGTCCCTCATGTACGAACAGTCGCTACAGGCGATCAACCCCGCCATTGCGCTTCCCTACTGGGACTTCACCATTGAGGGCACGTTCTTCGACTGGAGCAACTTCAGGTCGAGCTCCATCTTTTCGGACGACTGGTTCGGTGCCGCCGCCCCTAAAAACGTGAGAAAAGGCGTTTTTTTTCACCTTTCCGTCGCTGCTACTCTAGTGACTGCTGAGTTATTCGACACCCTGTACCTTACCAAGTGCGGGTATCATGGCGTTTCGTGTGCGTGGGTTGGTTAGCGCTTTGTTTCCACTGCTGTCGAGGACTTGGCCGTATCGTGAGAATGTGTGACACCCGAAGGAAACCATGGCTTTACACAGCAGCATTGCGTCAAGGTTGCTGAAACCTATGATGTGGGCTCGCTTGAGGCTCGAGGTCTTTGTTCTCCATTTCTTTCGAAAATATTGAAGGCGCCAATGTTGGTTCGAATCGCGCTCAAGAGAGGACCAATGTAGGTTCTTCTGGTTCTCCTGAAGAGAGAACCAACGTTGGTTCCTCCTGGGACGCGCCTCACCGTTCCCCTTTGTGGTGGCGACATCTTTTTTGGAGCATCGAAAAACGTTGCCCTTTGCTCGGTACCCCGCCCCTCTCGCCCGTCGTCTTCCTTAATTGTCAACAATAGCACCTGCGGACACCCGCCCGGGGACGGTTTGGGTACATCCCCAACATGATCAATGCCACCGAGTTCTCGACTGTGCGCAACTCCTACGGCATTCTCCAAGCCCCCTGGAACAACGACCCGACTCCGTTCCTCACGAGGAGCGACCACCTGATGGGCTTCGTGAACCACCGGAAGCCCTCCGGGTGCCGGAGATACCGGGAGGCCATCATGCAGACTAGCTGGTGAGAAGCAAGCCACGCTCGTGCGCCTGTCCGAATCCGATTACCCCCCGCCCCCCCCCCAAGTTTGTGTGGGTGGATGCCGTGTTTGGTGGTGGCCTTTGAGAGTTGCTGTGTTTTCAGATCGGTCTCCGCTCATTACCTAGTATCCAACACTGATCCAGGTACAGTGAGAAACATAAGGACCACAAGTGGATTATGGTTCTCGCGAAGTAGCAGCGAATTAGCTAAACAGGAAATCCCCTGCGTTTTCGCGTCGTGGGATGAATGTAGTCTTGACTGTCCCCCGTTGTGTTGTTTCAATGCCATGTGTGTTTTCGAAACAAGTCACCTGCCGGCTCCTTCGCCGTCCACTTGATCTCCACGCCTTTTCTATTGTGTTATATTTTTTTGTTTGGCTGCAGGATGGCGCTGACGGAATCTTTCAACGACGGCGCACACGGAGAGATACATGAGTTGCTCGGGGGGGCTTGGTCGTCGGAGGCCACGGCCTACTCCGAGAGGACGAGCGACCTCGTGCAGCCTTTCGTGCACGTGGCGGTGGTGAGCACCCTCTGTTGTTGTTGTTGTCGTCGTCGTTGTTGTTGTTGGTGGTGGTGGGTGTTGTCTTTAGTAGGTGGTGGTCGGTGCTAACGTTGAGCGTGGTCGTCTCTGGCTGGTGCCGCTGCTGCTGTTGGTATGTAGCCTCAGAAAGTTCCCTCGCCTTAGGCACCCGATGCTGACCTCCCCCCTCCCCCCCCCCCCAGCGCTTGTTTGGGTATCGCTAATGTTGTCGCGCACGCTGTTTTGAAATTCCTCCCAACGCGTTCATCAGCCACTGCTGAAGATGCTGTGGCGCACGGGGTACATGCAGTGCCCGGAGACGTGCGCTCTCGACGTTACCCCTTGGGAGGACTGCGCATGCACCTGCTCCGAGGAAAACTTCAACGGCATGAACTCGTGGGAGGTGAGGGCCGCCGCCGCCGCCGCCGCCGCGCCGTAGGGCGTCTTGTGTCTTGCTTACTTTGTACTGCTCTCTGCTGGGAGTCAGTCATGGCTCCGATATAAGAGGGTGTTGTGACAGAGGTCTTCGACCCTCATGTATCGGAACCCCCTCTTATACCGGAATACCGTGAGGTTGCGAGTCAGCGCACGGGGGTGCGATCGATGTTCAAAGAGTAATTTCTCCACAACCAGGAGGGTGCGATCGCCAACTGATACTTGTCAGGAAAGCTCTCGATGAGATATCTCCAAAACCGCCCTTTATCGACAGTGGTAACCTCCAAGTTGTGGAGAAATTACGCTTTGAAAATCGCTCGCAGCCTGTGCGCTGACTCGCAACCTTACGGTATTAGAGTACGAGGTATTCTGAAGGGGGTCGAGTCCGTGGCAACCGATTTCGACCATGTTATGTCTGAGCCCCCTATTTTCTAAGGCACCCTCGTGTATCGAAGACACAACTGTCGGTAGCTTCCAAGCTTTCCCAATTTTCCAAATTCGAAGTTCCCACAGATTTCCAATTTTTTCCTCGTTCCAAATTTTTCGTTGCCAGTACTTTCCGAATTTCCAATATTTTTCCTTGGCCGCAAATCGAAGTTCAACGTTGTACGGATTTGGAGATTTGGAAATTTTGAAAGCAATTTTGCAATTTTGGAAGCAAAATCGCAGTATATATATGACGGCCGTAAGGAAGGTACAACGGGCGCCCCCTTTTCCCTGGGAGACCCAAAAGATAGGGTGTCGTGTTACAAGTGGCGAAGAACGGCTTGCGCGTGTAACGATGGAAGAACCTTGGCACAACTGGGGAAGACTACAACCCGCCGGAAGACTACACCCCCCCCCCCGGCCTCGCCCTCGTGATCTGTTGCAGGTCTTGCAAGACGCAGGAGTGCTGGCCGAAGGGTTCTTCTACGACAAGGACGGCGTTCTCATCGAGGACCTCGTAGACAGCGACGTGAGTCTGGCAGCTGACGACCCACACCTGCCATTTTGGTGTTGCGCGCGATGCACCCCCCTCTCTGCGGATGCGTCCGATGGACGATTCGCAGCACTGCTTGTATCTGGCGTTGAGGGAGGTGTAAGACACCTCTGCACCCTACGGCTGAATCCTGTTTTTTTTTCTTCTTGCATGCCTGCGATACGTATTTACCTCACCCAATGTTGATCGCTTTCTTTTGGCGTTTCATGGAGATATATGACGCAACGTATAGATTCGCCCGCTGATGTTCCCTCCAAGCATGTTCGCTCCCCGAACGGAGAAAATATCCAACCGGAGGCCCTATTGTGGGAAGCCCCCCAAAGCCTCAATTCCTGGTTTAGTCTGAAGCTTTTAGCCAAGCGTTGACGACATTCCCCTCCCGCCAACCCATCAAATGATCTTGTTTTCTGCTCACCACCAGGGCAACGCCTTCGATATTCTTCCGGGATACACCAAGGGGGAGACGGTGCAGATCTACGACGAGATGCTGCGGGCCTTGTGCATCCCTATGCGCGTCGGCACTCACTACGGCGCCACAAGCACCAACGACCCGACGTTCTGGTTGATTCACCCGACGTTTGACAGGTGCGTCACGATTTGTGTCTGTCTGTCTGTCTGTCTGTCTGTCTGTCTGTCTGTCTGTCTGTCTGTCTGTCTGTCTGTCTGTCTGTCTGTCTGTCTGTCTGTCTGTCTGTCTGTCTGTCTGTCTGTCTGTCTGTCTGTCTGTCTGTCTGTTTGTCTCTGTCTCTCTGTCTCTCTGTCTCTTGTCTCTTGTCTCTTTATTCGCTCGCTGCATCGCTCTGCGCGTCCACGTCTCTCTCCCTCCCTTTCTATACACGCTTTTCTGACCACGTGTAGGCTTGAAAAGTAGTGCGCCCACCCATCGCCATTATCAACAGATGCTTACTGCTCCGATTTGCTTTTGGCATCGTCTTGTCTGCCTTGTTTGTACTTCCTGGTGTCGGGGTCGTGTGCAAGGGAGGTAGGTCTCGCGCCGATTACGTGACCTTGTAGACAGGCATTCCCGGTACCCTTGCGTGCTTCTTTTCTCTCTATTCCAAAGGGGGTGTTGTTGCCGTCAGCACCAACACCGACGAACGAAGGCGAAAGGAAACCCTAACCTGCAACAGGCAACCAACCTACAAAATAGCAACGGCAGTGAACAGACAGCAAAGTGAGCACCCAGCGATGGCAATATCCACAGCAACAACAGCACTCGACGAAAGAGCAGCAACTGCAGACAAAATATAGGTTGCAACATTGTCGCGGCAGCAAGAACCAACGCACGACCGCACCACGAACTACGGACGTATTGGCAGGCTTTGGCATTTGCGAAGGCTCGAGGTAATGTCGAAGGACGACACGGTCTTCGACGAGACGTGGATCCCAGACCACTTCTGCTACGGCCACAACCCCGACGACATCCAGCCGTTCCGGAACCTGTTCCTGCATGACAGTGTGGTTGAAGTCGAAGAACACGGGGGCAAAAAGGTTTGTTTTTCTCAGTTTCCTGCCCGTGTGTATGTGTGTGTATGTGTGTGTACGCTATGTAGCGTTATTTTTAGAAGACGGGTACCAAGGTCATTTTCTTAGGGTCCTGTCTTGGCGTGTGTTTATGTCAGCGTTTTTTGTTGAGGGTGCCGTTTGTTTGGTGGGCGTCGAATATGGACGTGGACGGTGCGGCAGTCATGTGATGCAACTGCTGTTGAAGGTGTTCGTCCCTTGTAAGTGGTCTTGGGGAGGCATGTACGCACACTGGCTTGGAGTTGAAGCCTTTGCTTGGCCGCAGATTACGATGTCTATACCAGGACGTACGGTTTTCAGCACCTTCCTTTTTGCCCACCTGCCCCTTTTTCGAGTGCCCAAGGCAGTACTCACGTGGCTCGAGGTTGTGGCTTTCGAGGCTACCCTGAGTGAAAAATGTCCCAGTTTTGAATTGAACAGGAGTAGCGTGGGTACCCACACGCGTGAGGGAAGGGATGTCTGGATCCTTCTCGCGTTACAATATCAACCAAGGCGAGCACCGCAGGAGGAAAGGCGGAGAATTCAGAGTTTTTTTGTGTGTGTTGACCCCTGCAAGGGTATCGGACGTCATTTTGGCCTAGTCCTCTGTCCTACTGGGGTATTGATTTTCTCTTTTCATTTACAATCGGAACAATGCCTTCGACCGTTTTTATGTAGAAGTACCAGTTTCCTTTCGTTGTTGTGTGTGTAGCCTTAAAGCTGTTTTATTATTCTTGGAAGTCTTTTCGTTTTGCCTTGTTACCACTTTCGCTCACCACCCCGAATCATGTTTTTTTTTTTATCGTCTGGCCGGCACCAGATTGAGATCCCGAAGGCCTACTACACCAACATGCAGCTGTATGCCATGCTCAAGCCGGACAAGATGGACAGCCCTTACGTGTACGACAACTTCGAGTGGGGACACTGCGACGTGAGTTGTGGCTTGTGTTGCTAGGAAAGCGAGAGACTTTGTTGCGCCGATATTGAAACGGCGGGAGCTATCTACGATTCTGTGTTCGTCGTTTTCTAATAGGTCCGTTTGGCGGTTGGACCACAGGGGATGCGCTATGAAGGGGAGTATGGGTCGATGTCGACTCCCAACACCCTCCGTTCTCACGCCATACAGTAGAATGAGAGAGACGTCACATGGTGTTCTGATTTTGAACCTTTTCACCTCCACCTACTACACGGTACAACCTGTGCAAATCGCAAATGTCGTCGTGACGCGCGGTAGTTTCTAGAAGATGACTTCCACCCCCACTGCTCCGCGTTCCGCCGACTGTTTTGAAACCGCAGGCGCAAGGCGTGTACATCCACGGCTTCTGAACGGACAGATGCTCGCGGCATCGCCAGCATGTTTGGGTCGCTACACGAGTCCGCTAGCTCTGGGCTGTCGAATTTTTCACAGAAAGCAGGCACAGCGTTTGTTTTGCTATTTTTGCATTTTAGTCTCTATCCCCAGGCAAAGTATTGTGTCCCTTATTTCCCAGCAGGGACAAGGAATACCCATAGGAGGGGGGATTTGTCATGATTTTGACTTGGAAACCGGGAGGGCAGAGCAAGATTCGCGCTCCAGGGGCTTTGGGAGGTATACTTGAATACTTTGAAATTTTTTCCATGTGGGGGGGGGGGGGGGGGGCATCTGGATTGACAAGCAAGGTCCGCCGGATATCATCGCCTCCGCCATGCGGGCCGCATTCCGCCGCTTCCTATGGTGTCGTCGGACGCGCCTCTGACCTTCTTTTTTGTTCGGTCAGGGGGCGGTCTTCCCGTCGAACCCCAGATACTGGCCCTCAGTCACCCTTGATCGCAGTGCAGTGCTGTCATAGAGCCTCTTTTGGGGGTTGTGCCTTGTATGGAGACCCGCACGATGCGTGGAAAATATCCGTTCATGTTTTTTCTATTCGTTGTCACCAAGTTTGTATTGAGATTGGTTGACACGGTTGGAGGCGGTGTCGAGACCTTGCCCACGCAGCCAAGCCCTTATGTCTTGTTGTTGTTCGGACTGGCATACTTGTAGCAGGGTCTTTTTGAGAAATGCATTTCCGTTCTTGGCGAGGTCGATATGGAGAATGGTTTCGACTGCATGGTTCATTTCAAATGCAAGTGCCCAATGGAAAAATGTTCGGCCGATAACTTGCGCGAACGGTTGGGTACCTGCCGATTGCTATACACCAGAGCACTATTTAGCTGTCTTGCTTTCGGACAGCAGTGGCGCCGTAACACCTGGGGTGGCACAACGCGGTTCGCTGCTTCGTAGCAGTTCTATGCGTTGGACTGAACGTGTACACCGGCATGTATTGGATTTTGTGAGATCAGTGTGCTTGCTCGACATGTCTCTGAATGCTGTCGCGATAAGACATGACCTGGTTGTATTTTTTTCCTATCTAGCGGTTGGCGTGGTTTGCTTGGAGAGTGCTCGGTTCTATTTGGTCCGTGTACGTGAGGGGATTGAGATGGTCTGCCCAGTGCGCTAGATGTGATGGAACATTTATTCATTGTTGGTAGAGTGTCGTTGTGAACTTGATTTATTTGTGCATGCCGTCAGGTATTCGTGTTTGTTACGTGCAGTAGGCCGAGCTGTTTTTTCTTTACTACTACTGTCTCTTTTTTGTCAGTCGGGTGCGGTTGTTCAGTGCGGTTCGATCAGTTTCCCTTCTGCTGTCCTCTTTGCTTCCCTTGTTTGTCTTGGTTTGTCGTGTGACGAAGTTCTCCATTGGAGTGCGTAGTTTCCGGGTACACTGCAGCTGCATGCCAGTAGTGTTTTTATTTTTTAGCGGATGCATAGGTTCGCCCGTTCTGTTCTTGGTGTACGCATGCTTATGCGGCGTTCAACTAACTTCCGTTGCTGACTTCACAGTGATTGAACAAGCAAGCTTCAAGTACCCACCGAGTGAATATCCTCAATTAACTGTAGGAAAAACATGGGAAATGGAGAGGAAAAGTGTGCAGTTGAAAACGATCAAAATCCCGTGCCTACGCAACCACTTGGGCTTGACGGTCGACGAGGGAAAGGGGCTGCTGAACCTTCTCGGGACAAAACTCGACAGGCAAGAACGGCAAGCGTAAGATCGGACGAAAACTGATCTACTTCGTTGTGACTTTCGTCCTGTCTGTGTGACCCCCCCCCCCGTCATACATGCTCACAGCGTATGACGACTGGCGACAGAATACATCGGACGAACACTTTGAACTGCTGAAGTACTTACGTACGGAGGTCAACTTAGTCTCCCCCTGACGGGTTTCCAGATAGATGATGGGTTTATTGTGTAATCTCTGTTTCAACGGCACTAACACTGATTTCTTTGCATTGGTCACCTGTTAGCGCCGTCGACGCCATTTCAAGAAACACAAAGTTGCGAAAGAAATCGAGTGCAGATAACCAGTCACTCAGTATAGCGGGAAGGTTTGGCCGTTGCAGCACCTCAACTTCGAGAGACAGCCGCGCGGCCGGCGAAAATGGCGTTGTGAACGGCTTTCAAACTGTATCTACGTGTAGACTTTGTGCACCACGCAATAGACTATACCATGGTACTATTCAACGATTTGAAGCTAAGGCTATTTCGGCCCCGGGCAATAATCCTATTCATACCATGTGCTCGGAATCCGTTAGCAGTGGCGCCTCGAGGGACTCGAATCGGTGCTCTCATGTACGTGGCACGGGAAAACCGTTTACCCTGTCTGCTCTCTTTGTGTAGACTACTGCTGTATGTAGCACGCTAGAAATACAAGACTAAGTGCAGAGACAGGACGAAGGGTCCACTTTTGGTAGGTTTGTTCGACGCGAATACCAGGTCTCGCCATTGGTGCGTGCATGACCGCCAGGCCTCTACTATCTGGTAGTACCAACAAGCGTTGCGTGTGGGTATCAATTGTCTCGATCATTTGTCCATGCAATGAAAACAACGTTGCTTCGTCAACCATGACCCAAAACAATTTTCACTTCAACACTAAACGAGGTACGGATTCTACAGCCGCATGACGCCGTTTTCTGGTGACTGGTGGCTGAGTTTGACCCGATGGCGGATGGAAACGAAAAATGAAACAAGAGCTGCTCGGAAACAAACGAATAGTATACTTCGAGTTTAATATGTTGGTCACAGTACATCGCGTTTAACCCGTTGGAAATCTGCCGCGAACTCTTTTCTATATAGACTAATGATGAAAAAGGGTGTGGTGCTGTGTAGAGAACTACGCCGATCAACGTTCGTTGTTGTGGTCAAAATTTGAACAGTCGTGCCGGTCGCTGCTCAGTCAGTCACACTACTACCTTCTAGCCGTGGCCTCGGCCAAGTACGTACCCAATGGAAGAGTATATTGCACAAAAATACACACACTTGGTAGCAAGAAAGCAAAACACCCCCAAAAGGCACAATTTTTTTCAAACAAAGAACACTACCTGTGCTGATGATGATGATGTCGTATGGTTTTGATGAAGCACATTGTCTACATTTATTTGGGTTGACACAGGCTGTCACGAATTAATTAATCTGAATCCCTACATGAGATTATTCGACTTTGTCAAAACATGTTGGAGAAGATGACAACACCTGAGCGATAGAACGAAGAGGACGCATGGTCGCACATGGTCGCACACTTCTGGCGTATGTATTATTGCATGGTGGCGCATCGGCGTACCGTATGCGTTTCTTCGTCGTGTCATGACAGATTCGCTCTAGGTCGCAGGTAACTCATTCAGCCTCTACACACATTTTCACTACTATTCCGCCTCCGAAATGAGCATGATGCCCTGGCTGGTGCCACGCCGACCCTGAGATTCGATCGTTTCTGACATTGTTCGAGAAGCAAAAAAAGAGCGATCGATCAAGACAGCAAGATAGAAAGTGAACAGGTCAAGACGACCAAAACAGCGCGCATGTCCGCACACGTCTGGCGCAACGTGTGCAACGTGCTTGCTCGTCGACTCACCATGTGCACTTTCGTCATACTTTGGATATTGGCGCCATGTCGCGTTGGAACCTCACTCGGCCCACACACAGTTTCATTTACTAAGCCACCGCCTCAAATGAATACTTTGCCGTTGGTTGCTGCCAAGCGGACTTTTGGATTTGATTTTTGACGCCGTTGTTGTTCGAGAAGCCAAAATGAGCGACGATCAAGGCAGGAAGATTGAAGGCAAACCGGTCAAGAAGAGGGCCGAAACAGGCGCATCATCGCACACTTCTGGCGCAACATGCCGCGAGACGTGCGCCATAGGTCAAGATCGACCGCTGAGAAACGGTTGGTCAAGGATGGTGCAATCGGAGTAAGAGGGCGACAGAAATGAATTTAGTCGGAGAGAATGAGTATTAGGAGGAGTGATATTCGATAAGTGAGCTTCATTTCTTTGAAATTCATCGAGCGAGGGGGCCGGGAAGCCCCACCGACCGACTTGATATTCGTTCAAAAATATCCCATACACTTCTACAATAATAGGAGAGGAGATAATTCATTGTTTCCGGACTTACTTGGGGAGAAGGCCAGAGATTCAGTTTTTTTCCGAAATGGTTCCAGACGCAATAGAAGAGCGACACAGGAAGACGGCCAAGTGGTGAAGACGAGGAATGAATAGTCGCACGCTTTATGGGTCTGCTGCTGCGCGCGGAAGGGAACCCTTGGGAGAGAGAGTCGAACCCACGACCTGCTATCTTAGTAGGTTTGCGAGGTTGACCGCAATTTACAGTAGGTAAAATACTGGGGCGACCACATTATGAGGAATCGAGCGAACGTGCTCTGCATCCATCCATCATCGATGCCCTCGGGTACAATACCAACCACACTCGAGATGAAAACAGTGCCTTTGATACAACATGTCCTTGCCGTTATCACCCCACCCCCAACCGGGCGACTGCGTTCCCACGTAGAGCTCTGCCTTTCTCACGGTAAAAAGTAAAAAGTCAAGCAATTTGCAAGCACCAAAAACGGGCAAGCATCGCAGGAGGAAAGGCGGGGAGCAAATCAAGATCAACACCAATGTGATCCCGGCTGGTACATCCGAAAAGAAAAACATGGTACTTCTACTTGTCTCGGTGTGGTACGACTGGCGCCAGAATAAACTGGGACACAAGACGGACACAAGCAACAAGAGGGGAAAGAGGCAACGCGTGCTTTGCAAGGGAGACTGCTCTGCATCCATCCACCCATCCCCGATGCCCTTCGGTTCAACACTAAGCATACTCGAGATGCACACGGCAAGCTTGGTACAACACAGCCGTTCTAGACGAACAAGTCAATCACCACCACAGGTAGCACCGGACGGATGGTACACCCGTCTGGGGGAGGTTTTGTACGCCTGCACCCAACACGGAAATCAGCGCTAAGGTGCTCAACAGTTCCCGCGGGCAGTTAAGAGTGATCCGGGAACCGTTCCAAGACTCCCAGCTCCGCATCACACTGCGGCGGCACATCATGGTGCCCACACAACAACCTAAGCTATGAAACGGTTGTCCGAAAAAACTTTTCACAACCCCCAGAATTCCATGTACCTCGTCACCAGGGGAACTGCACTGAGCACAACTTCAACAATTCCCGACAATCCAGCCTCATCTCTGCCAGACGTGACTTGAATCCTCAATTGTAAGCACTGCACCGCGACCTTGGGCGACTGCAAGAGGGGCGTGGCCCATTGAGGCTACGACTCGCCCCGCCGAGGCAATACTCTCTCTGAGGCCCTTACGCATCACGGTTGCCCGTCGGGTCCGGCGTCTGAATACGTTTGTTCATGATCGAACAAACAACAAACAACATGAAGAAGCCAGAGAACATGATGGGTCCCCCCTCCCCCTAGCAAAAACCGCTTGAATTGAAAGCGAAGAGATGTTGATCCCAACGCGCTATCTAGATAGATTTGACACGAACTGTGGAGTTGTCGTTATCATCGGCGAACTACACAAGCGCAAGTACAAAAACAAAACAACACGACGGAGCAAGTACGACCACGGGGGGACGGCGTACGAGTGACTCCCCCCATCAAAAACGCACCAACTGTACGTGCCACACGTGTGAAGTTTAAAGGTTTCCTCTGCCCAAAAAACCGTACATCTCCAAGCACCACTACCCGGTGCCGAGGAGAGATCTTCTTTGCCGGGAGGTTTCGGCGTAAAACAAATTACCCTCGTGCACCAGGTGTGAAGAGTTTGTCAGATAACACAACCGGGTTCCTCTACCACATCTCGTGTTTCTGTCTAACTAGATGCAGTCCCCCGTCACGAATGAACGATTCTCTTCCCCGCAATGAAGACTCGCCACGCTCAATGCCAAACTTCGACATCAGCACCATTCTGCAGGTTAGGTGCTCTTCGAACCCTGCACAACCTCCCGCGGTACCTTAACTATCTTTCCAGACTCCCATAGACAGTAGTTACAACGTTTCATGGAAGTGGGACCGAAGTTCCCGCTGCACCACGACTACCGTCCTAGACGAAAGATATCAAGTCTGACGTTATCGAAGTGGAATCTAGGAATCCGGCACCCGGTGGTACAAGACCGCCACGGCGCTGCGAGTGACGCAAGCGGTCGAGACCGAGAGGATATCTTTGTCGTTACACAGTCACCGCTCGGACCCTGCATTCGAGTCCTTCCGCACGAGGGTCACGTTGTGGCCGCTGGTGCAGTGGGAACCCCAGTGCTGCATGACGGCGACCGCCATGTAGTGCGTCGTTGTTGCTGGCGAGTTGTTGTTGCGGTTCAAGCAAAATACAGAGAACACGGCGAAGGGAAAGGGGAATAGTCGTCAGTTCACGCTGCAGGACGAGGCTTAAACCAGCAGGCTTCGACTTCGGGAAGAGCTGGAAAATCGGGGAGCGCTACGTGTAGCGCTGGTCGGTCGCGTCCACCCCTGGGGAAAGTTTACTCCTACAGCAGCAGTAGCGAGATGTGGACCGGTCAACAACAACAACGATAACCTCAATGAGCAAACTTACTATTTGCGTACTTGAGGAACGCCAACCAGAGGGTAACATACAAGACCAGCCGCGAGTCAGCCAAGGGGCATCACCCAATAAATGCAAGACTTCTTTCGTGAACTCCAAACCAATCTGCATCACTACGGCGCTTGCCTCGAAGACCCTGCGTGTTAAAGAGAATGGGTACACGGTATGACAAGATGGACAGTCACTCCTCGCGACGATATCTAATTTGGGGTTGTCCGGCGCGCAGCATCAGCGAGGGTGCAGAAGAAAGCATGCAGGTACACTAGCTGAAGCATCACTTTAGAAAACCCTGAGTATCTCAAGCTCTATCACGGTAGTCGGGCTGAAGCTCGGCTATTCGATGAACTTCCTGCAAGCTCGCGGCTAGGTGGCTGATACGTTTGTTGTCAATGTTCTTGAAATCCAACCATTGGAATCTTTCTATTGAGGCGAAGTTCATCCAAACATGTTGGTGCAGGTGTGGGCGGGGAAAGATTGTGAACACGATGTCGTTCACAGCCTGGGAGGTTGAGGTGTCACCCAGTAAAGTTCCGAAAGATCGGGACCAAGAGCGACTGCAGCGCTTCTTCGCTGAAATGGTTCTTCGTCCCGATATTTCGGAACGTAACTGGGTGGGACTTCAACCTCCCATGCTGTGCACGACAAAATGTACATAGTTCGTTGCACAATCTTTCCACCAACCACACCTGCACCAACATGTTTGGATGAACTTCGCCTCAAAAGAAAGGTTCCAATGGTTGGATTTCAAGAACATTGACAACAAACGTATCAGCCACCTAGCCACGAGCTTGCCGGAAATTTATTCGAATAGCCTGGCTTCAGCCCTAACCGTGATGGAGCTTGAGATACTCCGGGTTGTGTTGCTGTGGTGATGCTTCATCTAGTGTGTCTCCATGCATTCTTCCGCACCATCGCTGATGCTGCGCGCCGGACAACCCCAAAATTGAGTTTGTCGCGAGGGGTGAATGCCATCTTGGCATTCCGTGCATCCATTTTCACTAATACGCAGGATCTTCGAGGCAAGCGTCGTAGTGATGCAGACTGGTTTAGAGTTCACGAAAGAAGGCTTGCAAATATTGGGTGATGCCCCTTGGCTGACTCGCGAAGTCCCGAGCTGGAGCGTCTTCTTCTCCTGTGGTATGCAAGATGTGCGAATGTTAAGGAGTGCGTTACACCTACAAGATATGAGATCAAGTCTCGCGCACCGAGTGTCAAACGTCTCTCATCGCAACAGACTTCGTTGGCGTACCATGAGACACCCCCAACATAAGGATCCTCAGGGTGTGTAGCGATTGCAGAAAGCCTAGGAAGGTGGGTCTTGGAAGTACGCGAAACGATGAGGGAGACCTTCGATGTTCATACAACCAATAGATCGGCCATCTACCAACAATCCTACATAGGACACATGAGGAAGCTCTCTACTTTCACTCTACCGCCAAGGAGAAACGAACGAAACTCAGGGAAGGCCGCGGTGTCACCGACCTCTGTAGGATAATACCCTGGGGAGGCGTGGCTCGCGCAACGTTCCCAGTCCTCGATCTGGGGAAGACAGATAGCACGTGCCAAGCACGAAAGGAACGCAGGTCATGCGCACGACAATCGCGGAAATGGTGCAGGTGACTTGTTTCGTCGAAGTATCATGTAGCCCGTCTTGCCTGTCATCTTTGCGTATTATTGCTCCGAATTTTCTTTCGGTAGTATTCTCAGATTCTATCACACACCGACCATGATGGACGGGCACATCCGCTTGGGGTACCGAACATGTTTCCCGCGAAAAGCAACCCTGGTCTATGCTAGTAAGTCCCCTGTGACAAAAACATCGGTGCACTTCACCCGGGCACCATTTTCGAAGGTTTCAGGACGTTCTGCCCCCCTCCAGCACAGGCCCGCAGGGTTGATGAATGCGTCTCTTCTGGAAGAAGTGATTGCTTTGCAAGAACGCTGTGCAGTGTTGCTTCCGATTTCTACGCAATTCTGTGAAGTGGGTGGGGTTGAGGGTCAGGCTACGTACGTCGTCGAACAAGGGGAAGGTATACGCACGTTGTTCAGCAAGAAGGAGAGCTCGGCCTGCCCGCTGTCCCAGACGCACGTAAGGGAGCGCGGGCGCGTCGGCTACCTTCTCCTCCTCC